CGCTAGGGAGAAGATCTGCAGGCGGACAGCCCTGTATTTTGTCCCCAGCGATGACCTGCAGTGGATGCTTAGGAAAAGGGTAAAAGAGGGTATAGCCAGAGAAATCCTTCTTCTCTGAAATCTTCCCAGAGTCAGTAATTAGTGTTTCAGGGATTTCCCAGCCTGGAGGTTGCATCCAGCCCACTGTGTTTAGTAACGACCCTCCCTGAACGAGCCTCACCCCATTCTCATCCTGACCGTACCCCAAACCTCCACGATGTCCTACCCTTCCCCACGCAGCCGTCAAGGGGACAGACCCCAAAGGCCGGGATGCTGCCGGTACATGCTGAGCCCCCCCTCCCTGGTCCCTGGGCCCGTGGCGGGGGCCGGGAGCGGCTTCCCAGGGCTTTCCACTGGAGGTCAGTGTTGGCCTGAGCACGGCGGCTGGCACCCCCCGGGCCACCTCCCCCTGTCACCCCCCCCCCACGCCGGGGCGTTACACCCGTGGGGCAAAGCGGCGGAGGGCAGGGCAGTGTTGCTCTGGCCCTATTCAAACACAGTGGCTGCATCTCCCACTCCTGCCCGAATATGAAGGACCCAAACACAAAGGACCCAAATATTACATAGCAAAGGTGGTGACAGACCCCCGATACCCCAAGATATAGCTCAGTGCTCGGGCAGTGCTGACTCCTGGATGCTAATTTGTTAAAAACTCATTATCAGCTGGCAAAGTCAATCTCAGCCGGTCCCACTGCACCCACTGCCCATCTCCCCATCAGCACCTGACTTTACCGACTCAATCTTGACCTCAAAGAGACGCCACTGCCTGTCTTCAAGCCATGTATTTGCAAAGGGCAAAGCATTGCATAGAATAAAAGTTAGTTATGGTATAAAATTTCCAACACTGGGACTGCCAGTGGACAGCTGGCAGCATACAGACAAAAATCTAACACTACCAGAGGGACCGACAAGTTCTTCAGGAAATGTGCTTCGACTAAAATTTCAGTTAATGCTGTATTTGTTTACACCAGATGGAAAACACTATTTATAGCTTGGGAATATCAGCTAGAAAGAGCATTTCTTATTGCTTGTTTTAATCTGTGGGGAAGCTGTAGGAAGGTGGTACAAGCATGAAACACACAGAACTCTGTTGTACGCAGACAGACAGACATGGCAGCTCGGTTGGTCCTCCCTGGGCAGCCAGTATTTCCCAGAGGAAAACAAGCATCTTTTTCAAAGTGGCAGCTCATTTTGGTTATTTGTTTCTGAACGCGCAGCTTGAGAGATCTGAATTCAGCCTGACTTTCAAAGGGCCGTTCCCTGAGAAGTCAGGCTGTCTTGACGACAGCCCAGATCGCCACCCAAATCTCTTCGGTGCTTGGGATCAACTCCAACCCCGCCTCTGCATCTCGTGGGCTCAAGACAGGGCTCTCCCCACAGTGGGATGTCCAGAGGACCTCTTGACATCACCCTGAAGGATGACGTTCATTCCACAATCTCAGAGAGCAAAGAAATTTTTGCCTCTGGCTTTTGTGTGAGCAAGATCAAGATAGTTATGACTGTCATTACTTAATATTCCCTAAACTCCCTAAATAAAGAAGGGAGGATTTCACAGGAGACTTGATTTCAGAACTAAAATCTGGGCGATAATTACTCCTGTTTCATTCAAATCCCTCTTATTCACTAAACAGGGACATCGAAAAGACACTAAAACAGATGAAAGGCTCCGGTATAAACTTTACAAAGCTTAAAACTACTCTGTCCCAGCAAGGCTCATGCTTTACATGACACTTTAATCCTACTCATTTGCTAGATTCACCCTAACTGTAAACAAAGCTTTGAAATGAAAGCTTAAAAGCCTGGTCAGGATACATTAAGTTAACCAGGACAACACTCTTAAGGCATTCATTTAATGACAATCACAATACAAATTGCCAGAGGTTTGTGTGTGTGAGGATTAATATCTACAGAAAAAAGAAGAAAAGGGGTCTGTTCCCCATGCTTTCCAGCTTGTTTGGCAGTGTAAGGCCCACGGTGAGGGTAGCTTATTGCTGCTTGCAGGGGGCTCTGGGCTGGGGCTGTCTAGCAGACAGGGAGATACGGGGCCCTGGGAAGACATGCAACCCAATGCTGCATGCCAGGGTTTGTCCCAACACATCAGGAACAAGGCCATCCGCTCTCTCTGAGCCAGGTTTTTGGGGATCCAGTCCACTACAGTGACTCTTGCTTCATGCCAGAGCCCCCTTGGCTGAAGAGACCCCTCTTGCACAGGCACAGGAGTGGGACGGGTCTCCTGCAGACCCACCCAAGATCTGGAGCTGGGTGCTGCTCTCCAGAGAGCCCCGTGGCAGGAGAGCGCAGGCAGCTGGGGGACACAAGCAAGCCACAGCCCAACCCTTCAGTCACCCTGAGCACCCCTGGCTCCATCAGCACTTGAGTTAACACCCAGAGATGCCAGGAACTTGGAAAGCCCTTTCTGACACCGGCTCCCTGCTCCTGCAGGGCTCCAGGGTGACTGGGGAGGAGCAAGCTCAGCCTGGTCTGAGATGTCCCGGCTCAGCCACCTCTTCCTGGTGCATCCCACCCAGGCAGAACCACAGCATCTCCTGCCCACCCCAACACTGTTTTTCTTTCATGTCGGTACTTGGTCCTCCCCTACCTCAGCAACCCTCCTGCTCGCAGTGCAAACCCAGCAGAGTGCCAGCCCAGCACCCGGCAATGCTGGAGGGAAGCCGACAGAGCCAGTGCTTCAGGCACATGTCTGGCTCTGACCCCTGGATACTTAGGCAAGACTTCAGAAGTGCTTCTGTTTGCAAAACATGGCAGGATCAGGCCCTGGTAACAAATGTGAGCTATGACAAGTGTCCTTTCTACTGACTGCCCTTGCAGGCAATAATTTCAGCATCCCCCCCCTAGTCCATCTATACAGACAGTATGTTATGGACAGGAATGGCACTTTGCAAACTTTCATTAGGTAGATCTCTGTCTATAGATATTTTCTGTAGAGACCCAAAGTATTTTAAGGGATACATTTTTTCACAAGGTCCTTTCCAAGCAGGGCTCTCACTAAGGGAAAAGCACAGAAGCTGCTGATGGGACCAGTGTGAAAGCTGAAAAGTGAAGCTGGAGGGACCAGAGAGGAGACCAAGAGCCCATCAGCTCAGCCAAAGGCAGCAGACCAGAGCTAGGACAGTTTTTAGAAACAGATGAAGCCCCATTTTTAAGGAGGCCAAGAGAAAAAAAGCATTTTCTTCCCTCCCCTCTCATACTAACCCCACTCAGTTTCTACAGAGCACATGGGACAAAAGAATGAAAAGCCACAATCTCCAAGTTGTGGGCAAAAGCTGACTCCTTGGGTACCCGCCTGTACACCCAGCTTTCGGTCATGACCAGCAGCTGGGGAAGGAGATGCTCAGTTTTACACCAATGCTCAGCTGACATCCAACTCCTCCTTAAGCAGGAAGAAAGTGCAATAGGGACTATGAGAAACTGCTCTGCTTCAGAGGACACCCTTGAAAAACAGGAGAGAAATCCTAGCTTGTCACTTTTACCTGGAGGATGTTTAAATTAAAAAAAGCTAAATCCGGGGATGGGGAATTCTGCCTTCAAACCTGGCAAGATGGTCTGGCTGGCAGTCCTGTAAATAAAAAGCAGCAGCCTGGCCAGTGAACAGGTTGGAATGTTAATCGACTTTGTTGCTTGGAAGGAAAGCTATGATCTCCTAATTTGATGTGCTAAATCAGAATTTCACCTGCAAGGGATTCCTTGGAGGGAAGATGCGTTCCCTGCTACGCAAATGGAAACCATCGAGTCCAGTAAGAGCTGTGTGGGTAAACCTTGCAGGTGATAGAGAGCTTATTGCAGCCTTTGCATGGCTCGGCAGTGTTAGTTACCATTTGCTTTTTAAAAAATCGTAATAAAATAGACAGCTTTAAAAAGTGTCACTAAAAATATAAGACGCAGCAGTGTCACCAAAGCAGCATGAGTCTGTTTCCCACAAGCTACACGACTGATAATTTCCTCTCACCAAGGTCGGGCCGGAGCCTGAGGAATAGCAGCACTGGACATGTTGGAAGAAAAAGCTTTATTTTAAAAAAGTCCTTTCTAACAATAGAAGTTTTTTTTAAAAATAGTAAAAAGAAGTAGTCAAGGTGTTGGGGTTTTTTCCTACAGAGGAAGGAAATGATAAACATCTTAAATATTCATTTAAAATCCAGTGAATTGGTTTAGCTGTTTTTTTTTTTTTGGTAACTCTCATTCCAGTTACAGAAGAGGCACCCAGGAAAAAGAAGAGAAAGCCCGTTTGCAGGACGTTTCCTGCTCTCTGGGTTTCTGCACATTACACCAGGCACCCACCTCCTGGGTGTGCTCCTCCTCACCCTAGGGGTGCCCCGGGGTGCTCAGGGTGCCCTGCCGCAGACGGCATCCCCAGGGTCGGGGTGTGCAGAAGGGACACCCCAGGGGTGTGGGGAGCCCTGCCTGGCAGATGTAGCCAGAGACCATCTTTTCCAAGTGGAAATGGGGCAGAAAAATAGATCACCTTGCCTCCAGTTAAAAATAAGCTGAGAAAGAAAGGAGTTAGGTCCCCCCGCAGGTGTGTGTCTGCACACAGCCAGAGGCCGGGGACCCCCGACCCCACCCCAGCCGATCCCCACAGTGGGGAGAAGTCCGCACATCCAGAGATGCTCATGGGAGCCTGGGGATGTCCAGCCAAGCCCCCCCCGATCCCATCACATGTACCGCTCCAAGCCGGCGGGGAAATTGGGCTGCCTCACGTAGGCGTTGTTGGAGCTGAACTGGCTGAGGGGCGACGCAGAGAGCCCCAGGAGCTGCTCGCTGTGCTCCGTGCAGGCCGGGGGCCGCATGGCCGGCAGGGCCAGTCTGTTGGGAGCCCCGTAGAGCTGCGGGCTGCCAGGCGAATAGCTGCCCTGTGCCACGGGCAGGTGGGGGGGTGAGGCAGCATATGGGTAAGCCAGGGTGTTGGGGCCGGCCCGGCCCAACAAGCCAGGGCTGACAGGCTGCGCCTGGAAGCAGGAAGGCTCGGAGCTGCCAGCAGAGCAGGCGGGAGCCAGCTCAGCTCCAGGCAAGCCCAGCGACGGGTGGCCCAGCTCGGCAGGTGGTGAGGGCTGCAAGGCCTGCTGCCCGCTGATGAGGCTGTCGATGCTGAACATCCTGGGATGCTGCGCCAGTGGTGCTGCCCCAGCTGCATAGGGGTGGAAGACAGTGCCGGAGAGCTGGGGGCCATAGCCGGGCGAGCAGAGGGCATTGGGGTAGGGTGCTGCTTGTGCTGCGGAGCGGCCGGCGGGTGGAGGTGTGAAGGCGCTGGAGTTTTGCATGTAGCCAGGGTAGGTGGTGATGTCGGTGCGCTTGAAACGCTTCCTCCGGCGCAGGAAGCTCCCATTATCGAACATGTCCTCAGCGGCCGGGTCCAGCGTCCAGTAGTTGCCCTTGCCAGGATGGCCGGGTTCCCGGGGGATCTTGACGAAGCAGTCGTTGAGGGTGAGGTTGTGGCGGATGCTGTTCTGCCACTTCTTGGGGTTCTCCCGGTAGAAGGGGAATCGCTCGGTGATGAACTTGTAGATGCCCCCCAAAGTGAGCTTCCTCTCAGCGGCGTTGGCGATGGCCATGGCCCTGAGGGCGATGTAGGAGTAGGGGGGTTTGCCCCGCTGCACCGGCCGCTTCCTCCGGCGGCCCC